ATAAAAATAATAATAATATTAATAATAATATTAATAATAATAGCAATATTATTCATAATAATACAGCCGCACGCTTCTGTGTGTGTGTGTGTGTGTTTTTTTTTTCCATTTTTTTAATCCTTAACGACTAACTGCGCTATGTTACAACGATTATATACAAAATAATAGACTCGGTGCTATCCGACACTCTCGAGCGTTCCACGTTTTACCACAAACACTCCCGGAAAAAACGTCTGTTCCTCTACTTTCACAACGATTATCAAACTCCTAGTACAAACACGCGAGACGCGCGCCGCCATCTTGGGACGCGCGCGCGCGCCTCTACGCCTCTGCCCGGGGTGCTTTAACGGCGAAGCTAATTATGATACACGAAGAAACTACCCTCTATGCTTGTTTATTTATCTATCTGTTTATTTTCTTTTTTTTTTTTTGTTTCCCTTAATTATCATACACAAGGCTAGTCTACACGGTCAAAAATACGAAAATTGTTTAGCGTCGAACGAGTCACACCCGTGTGGAACCGCCCTCGTTCACGACGATACAGCTCGAACAACAACAAATCAGAACGCCCCCACCTCCCATTCGAACCAGGGGATTCCCGTGATGGCCTTTTACAACGCCTTTGGTATAATATCGTTCGCGCTAAGCGAGGTCCCGATTACACGAAGATTACATTGTTTCGTCCCTTAAACGCTAACCTACTGTCCCACTTACACGGTCGCGATCGCGTGACCGACCTAACCTATCGGACGATCCAAGCCCAAGTCCTTGGCTCTCGCGATCGCGGTTCGATCAATCGACCAAGTCTCCACGCGTTCGAGAACCCGGGATGCGGATGAACGACACGTACACTATACAGGTGTGCACGTCGCAAAAGGCTGAGTGACTTCTCGCGACACCAAACGGCGAAGGAGTCAACGATCAGCGCCATCTTGTCACGCGTGGTCCGTGGACGGTAGCCCCCGTGGAATTATCGCGTGTCCATCCCGAGTTGCTCGACGCGTCTGTGAAACGACGTCGAAAAGCGTGGCGGGTGAAGGAGTCCGGGCCGCGTCATCGATCTTGTTTCGCGGTTAAATATTCAGGAGCTGTCCTTCTGGCTGCTGTCGAAACCGCCGTCCATTTCGCGGGACCTCTCTGTCTCTCCAGCGAGCGAATCCGCGTTCCAGTCGGGTCTGGAAATATCGAGCAGGTCCTGGCGAAGGTAGGAAGGAACCCTGACGCCCGGTCGTTCCTCCATAAATCGACGACGCGCGACAGAGTCGACCCATATTTTGACAGACTCCCGAATAATTCGTCTCGTTCCGTCGTCTATATCGAGCTGACGGAACGAGATCCGATCCAGCCGCGGCCCGACTTTAACTGACGTTGACGCCACGGCGCCGACCAAGTAATTGATCTTATCCGGTTTAATAGATGATCGCGTTAGCCGATAGTTTGAATGGCAGCTCGGATCGGATATTGGCCGCGTTAACGTTCTCCTGGAAGAACGTGAGCGCTGGGCTACGGGCTCGCTGGATGCTACGTCTGATTATCTCCCGATGAGGTATACCGAATACATTAGAGGTTCCACGGAAGTCTGAGCACCGAATTGGATTAAATAAACCGGGAATAAAACAAAGTCTCCAACAGGATGCTGTGTTCTTGCTCGCAGAATCTTGCGAAAGAAAGATTCATGATTTTTGGTACTTGGCTGGTTTGGCGATGTCTGAGATCGAAATAGCGTCTCGAGTAATCCAATTCGGTGTACAATAGCGACGAGATTAAAGTCAGCTCGTCTCAACTTGCACCCCTGTCGCGAGGAGCCAACTCTCGGGCTACCCAACGGAAGATAATAGAAAACTATACTCGGTACGATCAACGTCTGATCAGAATTACATCCGTCTCGTGCTCGCAACCTGGTTGCACGGATAGCCAGTGGATCGAAACCGCGTGTTCGCGACAGAGGCTTGCGACCGAGACAGAGTCAGTGAAATAGTCCAGGGTCCCGATCCTCCTACGTCGTTCTCGAATCGTCTCTTTTCTTTCACGTGTGATTCTCCCCGGTCTGCACAGACACCTCGGAGCCCAGCATCAGTCCATTCGACAGCATGTTGGTCGCGGAGGGTAGAACGAGCGGGCTCGGCATCGTCATAGACGGTCTGAGCCTTTCCGTCAGGGCCAGCATCACTTGGCAGTGCAGGTGCTGAATGGTGGCCAATAGATTGAGATTGGTGTCGATCAATCCCGTGGCCGGCGAGTATCTGTCCCTCTCTACGTTGTCGATCTCCTCTGTTGGTAAAACGGTCACTTTCTGCTCCATCTCGGTCTCCTTCATCGCGGCGGCCTTGTTCTTCTCCGCCTGCTGCAGTAGCCTCTGCTGATGCTTCAGGTACGAGGTAGTGATGGGAAGACTGTAGTCGATGGGCGTGTTCTTGGGATCGAGTCCAGGGCTCCAAGGCCTTGGCAACGGCTGGCTGGGCTGAGGGGACGGTGTTCGGCCCTCTGGCAACATCCTTTTCCTCTTGGACGAGGCCGAGCTTTTCGAGCTAGCCCGGTCCGACTCTGGGGTCCTCCTCGAGTCCGGCAGACTGTCTGCGCTCGGCAAAAAGCCGCCGGTCACGGGCTCCTTCTTCAGCAAATTCGTGATACTCAGGGGATTGTACTTCTCTTCCTTCTCTTTATCGGTTTTCTCCGTCGTCGGCGTCGTCGTCGTGGTTGTCGTCGTCGTCGTCGTCACGGCGCTCCCCCTTTGATGCTTATGGTGCCTGTAACTGTACAGAGGCTTGCCCTCGCCGCCATGATTTCCCTCGCGCAGCTTAGGGCTACTTTGCACCGACGTCGTCGACGTCGTGGTAAGGGCGGCGCCGGCAGGGCTCAACGGCGTCGTCGTCGACGTCAGTGTCGTCGTCGTCAGCGGCGTCGTCGTCGTGGACTGCGATTGATTGGATAAATTCGTCGGGCTCGGGGTCCGCGGGCGTCGTTGGCATTCCGTGCAGCCCAAAAGAAATCGCGTTACCGCCTCTCGGGGTAGGAACGCGTACGTTTCCGTGATCTGAAACAGAACAAGAGGATTCCCATCAGCATGGAGCTCTTTTCCGTCCATATTCATCGATATTCCGTCATTTTTAACAAAATCGTAAATTTTCTAGGCCTTCGCGAGTTCACCAATCTTTCTTCGCACATAATTTGGATCGAATTAATATCTTTCCTTTTAACACGCTTTATACGGTTTGCCAATTCTCTATGTCTGTCTAAGCATGTTCACGATAACGAAGGATATCCAAGAATGAATTTATTCTCGTATCTAACTATAGAGGATGCAACAATTGACACATAGTGCCCTCTATACGTACCATTCAAAGTTACTGGCAGAGACCTGGATCTGACAAGAGTTAGTGGAACCCAGTTTTTACATTAAACTATCAACGAGTCCAAGCTTCACACTTGGTCATCCAATTGTGACTGTCAATAGACTAGGAAGACCCTCATCGATGTCAATCATTATTAATTCTTCCCTAAACCAAGACTACCCAGTCCAATCTCCACTGACAACTACAACTACCGATCTTTAGTGGGCATCTAACTTTAACGTGCGCAGATTATAGTCATTTCAGGGGTACGATGAATATGAATGAACATATCGATTACAGTTCTTTCTGAACATGAAGTTGGTACCAATTTTATTCTCAAAGCAAGCGTATGTGTTCGATGATTGCGAAAAGGAAAATTCTGGAACCAGTCGTTTTGACTGGCTTGGTAGTTCTAGCTTTAAGATGAAAACGGCGCGAATCCTTAGAGAATCGTTTCACTTTTCGACCTAAACCTTGCCAAATCACCGCCCAACATCCTAACATGCGGAACCAACCAGCTGAAACATCCAGAAGTCTCCCCTATAATACCCCCACCGATCCTCGCCTCGAAACGTCGACGAAGTTGGGACGAAATCGACACGTGGTTCGTTGCTTGAACGATCCTTCCTCGCGATACAGGTATTTTCCCTCTGCAGGATTAGAAAGCACGGGCCTGCACTCATGGCGTGAACAGCGTGAGTGACCCCTTTCGTTCCGCTGTCAAACGTCGGCGTCACGTGGAGTCGTTTCACGCGGAACGCCCACTGGGGAAAATTCATGAGCAGTAACGGAACTTTGATGTCTTTGCGAGAAGGTATTTAGCCGGAGGGATGTTCTCTGCCTCTTAATAGGAAACGTTTCTCTCTAAGGAGGTGGAGGAGCGGCATAACTTAATCAAGGATGGGAGGCTGCGAACCGAGAAAGGCAATGGTCGACCCGCGTACACGTGTGCGAATCGGTACACGTGTGTGTGCCTGGGTTTACGTACGATGCAGGTCCGTGTGTCACGCGTGTGCGCGTATGGGCGTGCACAGGTGTGTGTGAGTGTGTGTGTGGGAGAAGGTGCACGGCACGCTGAGGTAATTCGATAAGATTTACTCCGAGCTCGTCTGAGGGACGAAGAAAAGAGCCGTGGGTAAGAAACAGAGATAATGGCTTCTGGATCGACGTGACACACTGGCGGGGATCCCGTGACCAGCAGCCGACAGTCCTAGTTCGCGCTCTTCGGGGTTGTTAATCATTCACACCTTCGGGATGTTAATCATTTCCACGGCGTGTCGCGAGAACAAAATGTGAGTGAACGGATAAACTACTAGGAATATTTATCGAACACAATAACAGCGCAACATAAATTGTAACTAGGTAAATCTCGTAAAATAAATTCGCTTCTAACTGCGATGTAATCCCTCGAGGACTCTCTCACACGCAACATCTATATGTAATGACTGTCATTCAGCTAGTGATTGTTTCTTCACGACTCTGTCATTCTCGTCACACGCACATTCTTCCACACAAACATTGCTCACACTCGTACCACACGTTCTATGACAACCACTAGCACACAAAAGAGTTGAAATAATGCAGGACGGATTTTGGAAAATTGATCTCTCGACGAGGTTGAAATTTTAATCCCGATTTACGCGTTTAATCAATGAGATTGGTAATTTTAAAAAATATAAACGGACTCAAAGTTATTTTTGCTGGTTGGTAAATGTTTGGAGATTTTCTAAATTCTCGAGTACTGCATTTGGATATTTAATTACAGCGCGAGGTAGGCTGAAAAAATATAAATGGAAAGAGAAATAATTTATTTCTTCAGGGTTCTCCTTGTTAAGTAGTTTCTCCAGGTGTTTTTTAAAAGCATCGTTGTAGTTAATTGCAAATTACACGTTGCGGCGAGTTCACAGTTTTTAAGCTTTAATAATACACCGAGTGGAACTTTGCCGTGAGTCGATTAGATCTTGCACCGCAACGGAAACGGCGGGAATTAATAAATGTCGCTCATGCGATCTGATTTTGAATGTTAATCGTGCCATATATTTTAAGTTAACAATTTATGATTTTCGTTTTATATTTCTTCGCCGCTATAAATATAAACTTGCAAAAATATCTCGCAACGTAATGAATCAAACGTCCGCAACTATTCCTTCAAAAAGGAAAAATAAAAAAAGAAAAAAAGGAAACAATGAAAATAGTTTAATATAATAAAAAAAAAAAAAAACACGAGATTATTAATCAACGTAGTTGCAGGGGTGACAAAGGGACCCCTTTATTAATCTTAGCACCGTCAATGGCGCCATAGTGGCGCCACTGGCGAATCTAGTGCGGATCACCAGTGACCCCTGCAGCATCCAGCGTTAAAACAGCATCCACAGAACATACAGTACAGGTCGCTCGTAAAATCAATCGTACCTAAAGGTATTAGTCCAGCAACTTCCGAAACAGTAATCCGATATTTAGAGGAATCGATCCGGCGTCGTTCCGTGCAGTACAATGTCAATTTGAAACAGCTTCTCCTATTACCAGATATCGTTGACGATGATTTATCCAAACTGCTAATAAAATACCAATTGCCACTAAAATAATTGACATCGCATCCGAGCAATCGTTTCCAAAGCACCGATTAAAACCTCCGCGTTCTTCCTACCCGACTTCGCAACGATAAACACGTGCGCATTTTTCCACGACCCGTACACACCGTGCTGAATTTTCGCATTTCAATTTTCCAACACGCGTCCCCGTCCTCTCTCCCCGCTCTTTTCCACCAAAGAATCGCATCAGCCACGTTCGATCATCCGTCCACCGGCTAGGCTCCGCGGTGACCCAGTAATTCCCGAACGCGCCGCGTAGCCGGTACTCCGCGACGCCGCCTGGCGGCAGTTCCGCGAAGCACCGGCTCGCGCCTCGTAACAGCGACTTAAACGTTAAAACGGTTGCAGGTTCGCGCGGCGCCGCGACTGGCCGCCACGGTCACACGCGTGCATGCCTGCGTGTGTGTGTGCGTGTGTGTGTACACTGGCGTGCGTGTGCGTGTACGTGTGCGCGGGCCACGGCCGCGTGTGGGTGTGCACCGGTAAGCAGGCAATGCAACAAGTGTCCTGAGGTTTTGAATCACAAGCAGATCGCGGCGGTGGAGAGAGAGAAAGAGGACGGCGACGCGACTCGAATGGGATAGGGAGGCGCGGCAGGGAAGGGGGGCCGGAGGGGCTCGCGAACGGGAGAAAGAGGAACGGACAGAGCGGCGAAAGAGGGCGAACCGATCGGGTCGCGAGCGCGGGACGGGGTGTCGCGGAACAGATATGATACCCCGGAGAGAGGTTTACGCAAACGCGCGCCGGAACACGTGAGATGACGTGTGGTATCGAGTGTTCGACGCTTGAATGCCTCGATGCCTTCTCCCCCGGGAACGGTAAATATCGCGTGTCGCGGTCGGCCATGCAAGAATTCGGCTCGCACGATCCCGAACGGATTCGGGGTCAGCGCCGACCCGCGCCGATGTATCTTCTCATGGGAGATCCGCTCGCCGGATTGAATTCAAATCGCTGACGGGGAGAACGAGGAAAAATTGTTTCTTTCGAGGGTTCCGCTCGTTGCTTCTTCCTTTTGCTCCTTGCTCCAGCAGCGGTTTGAAATTAGGGTTGTTTGGGTTTTCCCGGTTACTCGCGTTCCTTTGTTTCCCTTCCAGGGACCCCGGAAAGGTTGCTTTGAGGTTAGGTTTGTTTGCTTTTTTCAATTTACTCTCTGCTTCTTTCCTCTTTGATGGAGCAGCACTGAAGGGAAGAATAGGGTTTTTAGACTGGAGGAATATTAGAGGAAAGGAGAAATTTTTGAAATTTCGAGTGTTTTAATTTCTAATTTCCGTTTCCTTTTCTCCGTGATGGAGGAATATCGTGAAGATGCTTTAATTTTTTAAATTAGAGATACAGGATTTTTTTGAATCTTCCCTGTTTTTTTAATGGCAGCGCATTGAAGAAGAAATTAAGCTTTTAAGGTTAGGCGTGCTTGTCCTTTTGTGGAGAATTTGAGATAGCTGAGGGATATATCGGTGAATTCTTTTGAGAAAGTTTGCATATCCTATTTTCTATCTAAGGTAATTGGATATTTTGAGAGTAATTTCTCGAAAGAATTTAAAAATTTCGGATAAGATAGAATATCAAGTTAGAGGTTAGATCAGTCACACTTGCAATATTACTTTACCTATGATTAAACTATGACAACGAATAGTGGATTTCGTTGCTGAAGAATTGTGAGACACTCCTATTATTGGAAATTTAATTTTCGGAAAATAGAAAATATCGATGCGATTAAAGTATAAATGTATTATCGACAAACGGAACTTTTCTTGATGAGAATTCGGTGTACCTTCCAATTAAGGTATATTTTCAAACCTTTAATATTTAATTACCACGTAAAACATTTGGACTCGTTCCTTTAGAGAAAGTATTTCTAGGTATTCCAATAAAGAAAAGCCTAGAATCAATTACGATTCTAACCTAAGAAATATTTCCAAGTCCCACAAGATAAAGAACATTTCGCGCAAAGAGTTTCATTTTCCACTAACTCTCGCAGAAGTATACTTTTGCTGTATTCGAGATGCTTCGATAATAATGGTGGGAGAATTTAAAATTCCCTAGAATTTTCTTCGATGTTGCACGTATCATCAATTTCTAAGCGCATCAAGCCTGCGGGAAAGTAATGGATAGATATTCCTGTTTGAAACTTACCGTCCTGTACGTTCTCTTTTGACCGGCATGCTTCCCCGGACGACCCTCAAGGTCAACATGGACAGCATGAATAATGTCGAAGAAGTTCTCCACGATCGCGACTTTCTTGTACACTCTTCCGGGTGGAACGGTACCCTCGGCGCCGTTTAACGTCTGAAACCAACGTGTGACATAGTTAAAAATTCAATCTAACTTTTAAATAGTTAAAGTAGATAGAAAAAATGGCGGACAGTTGCAGGGGATTTATTAAGATGCGTCGCGTTAATTCGTCCTGTTGTCATCCTATTAAACTTTGCTTCGCTTGCCGATTAAACTGGCATTACACCTCCCCTTTCACCGATTACTATTTATAATTAACATTTAACATATACATCAAATACAATCAAACGCGTAAACTTTGCATTATTTCACAGGTTACAATTTCCAGTTTAATTTAACACTCAGCAGCCACATATGCGCGCATCAGCGCCATCTATCCGTTCAAACGCAACTATGGTAACAGGAAGATTCCTACTTTCGTATCAGACGCTCGGTAGATTCCTGCAATTCCTTTACCGACAGCCATCAAAACCTTACCAACGTCGGTATGTCAGGAAGCTACGTATCCCGCTGCCTCCATCCATCGTCGATAATACAGACTTCTGCCAATTCTAACCTATACAACACCCTCGCTTCGAACTCCCAAAAACAGCGAAAAAACAGAGTAACTAGAGCAAATAATTACGCGCAATTAGACTCTCCTATCCCGTTCGATCATTCTACCCCGAAAACCCTCTAATCGACACCGTTTCGACTTCGAAAGAAAATGTCTCGAATTCCTACGAACCAAAAGATATCGTCGCGCAGAACCGAAAGCAGAGGCCGGTTAACCTCGCAAAAGTGAAGTCGCAAGAAGCATAATACCCGGCTACCCGTTCGCCAACGTTTTCTCCATTTCCGCATGCCAAAGGCACCGCGGTATTGCGGGCGCGGTAAAAAATTCCAACTAGCCCAGAAACTCGATTAACTTCGGGACGCGGGTGGCGTGACGGTCCGCGGGCATGGCCGCGGTCAGATTGTTCGGACGAACTTTCCGACCTTAAGAAGTTGCGGGCGCATGCGCGACATTATTGTATTTCCCTAAACACCTGTTGAAGGGTAAAGTTGAACTCGTGGGGGGCTTACGACTCGGTTAAGTGGCTGCGGTCAGGCGGGATAACAATGCCGATATCTAGGTGACCGCCGCCTTAAGATAACACGCGGTGCGCCCCGATCGAACGACCGCGGCGCCCCCGTGCGTCTCGGCCGCGTACCACCGCCCCTCCGTCAGCCGTAATTGGACGTAATCGCGGCGACGATCCCCGCGTCTCTTCTTCGCCCGGCCGTCAACGGAAATCGATGCTTTCGCAAGTATCGTGGCGACACGATCATTCAATTTTCAGCGACCAGCCTGAGCACCGAGACTGGCTAAAACGGAACAACCCCCACCCCTCTTCGATCCGTCGTCCGATTTTATCGGGATATTATAATACCGAAATATTTCGCGCTGCCAGGTGGGCTGGTCTGAAAATAAGCACAGTCGAAACTCCTTCTGTCGCGGCTCCTATAAATCCGCGAAAAAATATTTTTGGATGCGATTCCGACTCGGCTTCTTAGATTTTCCGGTCGAAATAGAATCGGGTAAATCGTTAATTGAGCAAATTTATATCTCGTGGATATTCGAAGTTGGGTCTAGAAATTTTTAGACGAGTATTTTTATAGCTCATTTTTGCGAATGTCTTACGATTTGATGGTGGTACAAATGGTCTCGAAAAATGATTATGATAGCTGCTGTTAGTTTGAAAGTCAGAGGTGCGAAGGTAGTGTACTATAGCAAGTAGCATATGACAAAGAAATTGTCATAATTTTCTCGACAGGAAATTTGTGTTCACGTCTAGTACGAAACCGTCTTTGTGACTCACGTCCATATTTTAAAGCATTTGTATATTTGTATTCTACAATGTACATTGTTCATGCAACCCAAAAATGGAAATGTCTTGACACTTGGAAAAAGTTCCACAGTAACAATTATATATTCCAAGTTTGACTATATCAAAATTCTTGAGCCTGTCTGTACGTACACTCTACTACTGCGCAGAATTTGAAACGATTATGTTTGCCCCAAATTAGGTGAAAGACAACCCAACCTGGAAGGATAAACAAAAGACACTTGCTCACTTAAATAAAATATATCCAAAAACATCTCAAAACCTGCGTAACTCTCATCAAATAGAAAAACATGAAATTCCCATAAAATTCCCATAAGATCACCAAAGGCTCCTCCATATGAAACGAAAAACTGTCAAAATCTCAGTAACCCTTCTCAAATACAAACACACGAATCTTGCAAAATCCTAACAAAATTCCACACTAATTTTGTAACACAAGATTAGAAATCCTCGTTAAATATACGAAAGCTCGAAATTCGGAGAAAATTCTCAAAAATAACGGTATCACCAATTGCTTCTCAATACCTCAAAAGAAGCTACCACAGACTCCTCCATATGAAACCAAAAACTATCAAAATCTCAGTAACCTTTGTCAAATAGAAACCCACGAATCTCGCAAAATCCTAACAAAATTCTACACTAATTTTGTAACACGAAACTAGAAACCCTCGTTAGAAATACGAAAGCACGAAATTGGAAGAAAATTCTCAAAAATATCGGATCAGCAAGCCTTTCTCAATTCCTGAAAAGAAGCTTCCCCGAAAAGCTGGAGAGGAGCACCCGAACCGCAACCCATCGTGCCTCGCGCGACTTAATATCTAATTAATTCACCCTTGATCCCCCTCCTACCCTCGAAAACCCTAGCATCCGGGTGCCTAAATTGCTCGCGAACCAGAAATTTCACGGCGTAACAGCGCCGGAGAGGCCGCGATCTCGATCCCGGGAACCCCAATAATCGTCGATGATCCAGCGCAACGACGGGGTCAGACAGCGTCCACCCCCTATCGAGATAGCCGTGGGTTCGATCGAAACGGGCGGAGATTAACCTACTTGAGAGGGTGTATGTGTCTTGCCGTCCGCTTATGTAAACGCGCGAGAGGGTGAGTTTCATGGCTGAATACGGCCGGGCGGCGGACAGAGAGGAAGGCAAGATAGGGGGCGCGCGAGTGAGAGCGCCAGGGCTCGGCAGTCTGTCGCCTGTGGATGGCCGTGTCACGCAGTGCGTATTGGCATATAACGAGAGCCCACGGCCTGGCCGCGTGCCTCCACGGGCCGAGATGTGTCTGGAAACGTGTCGATGCTGATGCATATGTATGCCACTTTGAACCAGCCGATTCTAAGAGCTCGTTTTAATGTTTAATACAAGGCGGAACGCGAACGGTCCCTGCTTTGTTTTCTCCGCGAGTACCGACGCTGGGCCTTGGGCCGACTTCTTGGCGCGATTGGATCCGCGGCCCAAGGAGATGTCCCAGGGTGTGGTAATCGTTTGGAGAGAATAGATGACAGGTGTCAATAGTGTGGTAGAGGGAACCTGGAGATCTAGGAATCTAAGGTTTGATAATTCTGGTGAAAATTGGTGAGAGTTAGGCATCAGGACTCGTGGTTGAGTCCGTATTTCATTCAAGGAAATGTTCCAGGCTGTGGTAATGGTTTAGAGAGAATGGATGACAGGTATCAATAGACGAACGAGTAGCCTGGAGATCTAGGAATCTAAGGTTTGATAATTCTGGTGAAAATTGGGTGAGAGTTAGACATCAGGACTCGTGGTTGTGTCCATGTTTCATTTAAGGAAATGTTCCAGGGTGTGGTAATGGTTTAGAGAGAATGGATGACAGGTGTGAATAGTGTAACGAGTAGCCTGGAAGTCTGAAAATCTAAGGTTTGATATTGCTGATGAAAATTGGCAAAAGTTAGGGATCAGGACCTGTGGTTGGGTTCGTGTCTGAGTCCAAGGAAATGTTCCAGGGTGTGGTAATCGTTTGGAGAGAATGGATGATAGGTGTCAATAGTGTAACGAGTAGCCTGAAAGTCTGAAAATCTAAGGTTTGATATTGCTGATGAAAATTGGCAAAAGTTAGGGATCAGGACCTGTGGTTGGGTTCGTGTCTGAGTCCAAGGAAATGTTCCAGGTTGTGGTAATCGTTTGGAGAGACTAGATGACAGGTGTCAATAGTGTGACGAGTAGCCTAGAGATCTAAGAATCTAAGGTTTGATATTTCTGGTGAAAATTTGTGATAATTAGGCATCAGGGCCCGTGGTTGTGTCTCATTTAAGAAAATGTTCCAGGGTATGGTAATCGCTTGGAGAGAATAAATTACAGGTGTCAATAGTGTGAGGAGTAGCCTGGAGATCTGGGAATCTAAAGTTTGATGTTACTTCTGATCACTGTTGGGAGTTAGGTGTCAGTAAGCTTCCAATTTTTGAGTTACGTAATCGTTGTTGAGTCTAATTGCTAGGAATGTGAAATAATTTTTGATAGGAAGTTACACTAAGTCTTAATGGGAGTTAGGTAAGTAAGATAGGCGTCAGTAAGCTTCCAATTTTTGAGTTACGTAGTCGTTGTTGAGTCTAATTGCTAGGAATGTGAAATAATTTTTGATAGGAAGTTACACTAAGTCTTATTGACAGATCTAAAAGGTTAGATGGTATGAAAAGGTACAATAATTTGGAAATTGGTGTTACTGATCAGTGGTGGAGTCTAGTGGCAGACAGTGTTCATATAGAACATGATGATTGGACGTTATTGGTGTTCGTTGATACCAATTCGGCGTCAAAAAGCTTCCAATTTTTAGAAAAACTTGCTCTTATTGAGATTACCTTTAGGAAATTTGAAGTAACTCTGGCAAAAATGATGTTTCTGATCTATATATACAATTGGACTAATAAAACGAGCGTTTTATGAAAATGCAATAGAAAATTTGGAGATCTTGGGATTGAGATGAATCAAGAACTGATGTTGTCCTGAGTCGATCTCTGAGAACAGTGTTTACGATAACTGAGACTGATTTTAAAAAATATTAAAACAATTTTAGTACCAATCTTCCTATTCTTCTTGATCTACACAATGAGATTATACTATGAGAAATTTGGGTTAAGTCTCCAGATCTGCGAATTGCTACTTTACGATTCACTGACTGAACGTCTATTATTTCTAAATTAAACATTCAGGAAAGTCGAAATAATTCT